ATTTTAAGATATATACAATATGAGCCTCAGCGGGTAAAATTCCAAACTATAGGCTCTTTATTGTTATAGAACTGGATCGGGTGATATACACTGTAATTATTCCTTTATTTAATTGGGATCATGGTTTAAAATTGGACCAACAAAAATTGTCACGTGTAATTTAAGTAAACCTTTTTTTATTTGGCATTGACCATTAGTCGTAGGGGCATAAGTGAGCCAGATAGATAACAGTGGGGGTGTTTTAGCTCAATAGGTGGACTTAAGGCATATTTATACCAAATCGAATAGTCAGCGGACAGTTCTGGCCCTTTTTGCGAAAAAGGTATATTCATAAAACATTTTTAAAGAATCAAGTAAACGAAAAATGACCCCTTAAAATTGGTATAATCATTAGTCGGTCAATTTGACTAAAAAGATCAAAAGAATAAGAAAATGATCAATTCATTTGCTTTTAAGAAAACATTATTACTATTATAAAAATAAGAAATACTGATGCATGTAGGTAATATGCCCTGAAATGGCTATAAAGCTAGGGGAAAAAATGCAAAATACAAAATTAATTGAAACTGTAAAAAAAAATCAAAAGGTAAAATTAATATGAACAAAAGAATATATTTTGCTTATTCCAAAACAATTACGTAAATGTTATGAAATACTTGATTATGGTGGATGTCCATAACTCCTAAGGGAGTAACACCCACTACTCTTCTCCATTAACCTCCCACTACTTCTTACCATTATGGATGTAACTCCCACACCTCCATGATCTTCCCCCATGTTCTCAATAGTTAATACCATGTTTATGGAGTCCCTTTGTATTACCTATATCATCCTATAAATAGAGGGTTTGGGCATCACATTGTACACACTTGAATACATGGAAGAAATAGATTCTCTCCTCTCTTTCTCTCTACATTGTTGTCTATCTTCTTGGTTTATATTATTACTTTGAGCTAAGTTTCGTAACACGTTATCAGCACGAATTGCTTATTTCAGGATCTTCTATTTCAAGATTATGTGGTAGGTGTTCTTTAATTTCCATGGCTTTGGCCATACCATTTTGGCGGCAAGGTAACTTTATTTTAATTTTTCTTCACAATGGTAAGGGTTTATACAATTGTACTATACACAAATATTAAAATTTTATGTTCTTTTAATCCTAAAAAATTAAATCTAATATGAAGTTGGCCATACGTAAGTTTTTTTTTTCTGATTTCATTCATCGCAATGGTGTTTTTAGTATTTTGCGGAAATATATGGTATTTTGAGATCTGAATGCTTAATAGTACATCAAGTTGTTAAAAACATGGCTTCGCGCTGGACTATGGCAATAATTATGAAGTGGTAATATTTTAAATGGTTCCAGTCCATTCTGACATTGGTTAAGGGTAAGACGGTGGGTTCAAGTCTCAGCGCACCATAAGGGTAAGACATCGGGTTCAAGTCCTGATGCATTATGATGATAAGAGTTGGATTTGAGTCCCAACTCATTATGGCCTAACATGCCTTTATATGGGTAATGCATTGGGTTTGAGTCCCAATGCACCATATTGATTATATAATGAAAGAAAAATAATGTATTTTTCATGAAAAGGCATGAAATGTCCCACTTGATTTGCTCCATTCTTGAAGTGAATGTGACGATGCATAAGAAGTCTAAATGAAGACAAGTGGTTGACCATTGAACGTGGGCGTGCCAAAGATCAAATCATAATAGTCATCATTATGGTAATTGTAAAAAGGAGAACAATAAGGGTTCTCAAAATGATCCTTCAAAGGTGAAGGAATATGTATCAATGTGATCTGTTAATACGAGACACGTTCAGATGGTTATAGTCCATTTTTTTTTGAAAGAATGTGACTTGTGATAGGCATTGTAAATGCAGACTCATTCCTGAAGTGAGTATGAAAATATATATGTGATAAAAATTATGCATAAGAATGTGCTTATGCATAGTTGGATAAATACCACAACTCACCTCTAAGGGAGGTTTGAGAGAAATAAAGATAATGAATATTACAATATGGTTACATGAATATGTCATTGGTCGCGTACACGTGGTACGCCAAAAATATTTTACCATGCCTTATAAAAAGTTATTAAAGGCAAAAGTAAAGCAAGAAATAAGTCTTGTCTATAATGGTTTTGATTGTGACGATAAGATAATTTTTCTGTTGAGGAAAAATTCACCACTTGGATGGTGGTATAAAAGATCTTGTAGTACAAAATTATTGAGAGCTCCGAAAGAGCGAATTTGTTACTACCCGAATAAATAAAATTATTCATGGCATTGGTGGTAGTAAGTCTCAAAAAGGAACTTTTTGAGTTTCAAATATATTAGCTATAGTGGTTGGCATATTGAGACTATAAATGAAAGGAAGATTGAATATCTTCATTTTACTATAATCATACCGGGTAAATATGAAAAGTTACCTGATTTTTCTTCTATTTGTACTACAGATGTATAAGCATGGTGATGGAATCACATGCCATAGTAAATTAAATATTTACTGAAATAAATATCAGTTGGCATGACCGGTTGGCCATCCCGGTTCATTTATGATGTGAAAATTGATTGAGAATTCACATTGGCATATATTGAAGAAATAGAAGATTCTTCAAGAATTCTCTTGTGCTGCTTATTCTCATGATATACCAGCTAAGGTTGGAATTGAATCCCTTGATTTCTGGAACGAATAAAAGGTGATATATATATATGGGCCCAGTCACCTGCCATGTGGATCGTTTACTATTATATGATTTTAATAGATGCATCTATTGTATGGTCACATGTGCGTTTGTTATCAACTTGCACTTTGGTTTTTGCAAGGTTGTTTGCTCAAATTATTAGAGCACAGTTCCAGAATATATATGATAATTTATCTTGATAATGTTGGTTTAAATCCAAGTTGGTTTAGCAGAAATTGTATGCCTCCAATTATAGCTAAACCATTGGTTATGAGAACAAAACTCCCAAATAAAAATTTGGTATGAGGTGTATTATTTAATATACAACAGCACTTGTACGCATCTAGCCAACAAGTTATGATAAACTCTCCCCATCACAATTGGTTCACGGTCAGGAACCATATTCCCATCTAGAAATATGGATGTGCTATATGATTTAATTGTGCTGCCACAATGCACAAAGATGGGTTTCCAAAGAAGGTTGAAAAATGTGTTGGTGATCCCGACATTAGGGGGAGAAAATGGGCAGCTGAAAAAGTGATACGTGAAATGAATTATTATGAATAAATCTAGATCCTCGTACAGGAAAATGTGAACTTGAAGTTCAAGTGATAATTCATTTCTAAAATATTTCCAAGCACATTGTTGACCCAAAGTTAAATGTCATATTCCAGCTGCTAATGCTCCAAATAGAATAACGTCCATGATGGATAGAGTTTATGGCGCGCATGAAGCGTAATAGACAAATCGGTTCCAAAGACAAAACTCCTTGAAGAAGGAGGGAGCAAATGTTCAAGATGGTCATAATAAGGAGGCAAGTGCTTTATAAGAGCACCATGACATAACACTTTATAAGACCTCATGGGAGAGGCTCAGGTACTTGAAAATAATGAGATCTCGATAAATTATGTCTTTGTTGTGTGATGATGGAACCGATGTAAAATGATCGTCGACGATGTTGTTAATATAATGTAGCGCTTAATATTATTAATATTGACGAGGATCTTGAGCTCAAATCTGTTATGGAATTTGGACAGATAAATGATTGGCCGAACGAAAAATATGCAATGAAAATTGACTTCATCTGAAAAATATGAAGTTTGGACGAATAGTCCCAACAGCTGAGAGTATAAAGGCTATATGGAGATATTGAAATATGATTAGTATTATATTGCAAAAAGAATCCTTGATATAGATTTGTTTATTCTAACAAATATTGTCAAGATTTTGTTGTTTATGCAAATCCAGGCATTTATTGAAGTCCGTTCTTCAAACAATCTATTTGTATGTGAGGAATTGTCATATTATCATTTCACAAGATGTGTGACTTTTCTTTGAAGAGAAGATTCCAATAATTATCAAGAAGCTGATGTTTGCTTATCTCAATTGAAAGAAGAATATTGAAGGAGACTGAATAAGTCATATATTTCATCGAAGTTCTTTGTCAGACACGATCTTCAACAGAATGATGAAATAGATGTTCAAGAAATTCGTTCAAGTGATAATTTGGCGGAATAATTCACCAAGGCATTGCCGATCTCAATATTAGAGAAGTTGTTAGACAAGCTTGGAATTCGTCGTGATATTTTCATCAGGGGGAGGCAAATATGTGCTGTACTCTTTTTCCCTTAGCTAAGGTTTTATCCCACTGGGTTTTCCTGGCAAGGTTTTTAACGAGGCATCAAATAAAGCGTATTACAGATATGTGTACTCTTTTTCCTTCACTAGGATTTTTTTCCCATAGGGTTTTTTCCTAGTAAGGTTTTAACGAGGCACATTATCTTTGGACATCCAAGGGGGAGTGTTATGAAATAGTTGATTATGGTGGATGTCCATAACTCCTAAGGGAGTAACACCCACTACTCTTCTCCATTAACCTCCCACTACTTCTTACCATTATGGATGTAACTCCCACACCTCCATGATCTTCCCCCATGTTCTCAATAGTTAATACCATGTTTATGGAGTCCCTTTGTATTACCTATATCATCCTATAAATAGAGGGTTTGGGCATCACATTGTACACACTTGAATACATGGAAGAAATAGATTCTCTCCTCTCTTTCTCTCTACATTGTTGTCTATCTTCTTGGTTTATATTATTACTTTGAGCTAAGTTTCGTAACACTAATTTCTTTTTTTTAAATACTTTTTACATTTTTCCCAGTAATTATGATCATAATTGGTTGTATAAGGGTGTAAAGTGTCAAACACAAACTTCAGGGGTTACCGAGTAACAAAAGTTTTTTATGGAGGGAGTTACAAAAGGCTGAAAATATGTTTCTTTGCTCTACTGTTTTGTATGCTTATACAAAGTTACAAACAGCTGCAATGGCGGACTCCACAATACCTACGAAGACACTGCGATGTCGCTACTTTGGCATCCTTTTCTGTATTTCGTACTATTTACCGTCCAATTCTCTTTGTCCAAATCTATCGGCAATTTCCTTTCGCTCTATTATGTATTTTCTATTTGACAGACTTCTGCAGTACTTTCTCAACACATCATCCGTTCTCCAATGGCACAACTTCAAAAGGTGAGAAATATTCCTTTCCATTTACTTCTTTATCTCAAAGTTCAATTATTATTTGGATCATTTTCACGTACTTGTAGCTTCATCTCCTTGACTCTTCATTCCTTGCTTGATCATAGCTAATGTGTTTTGTACTTAGCGATAGGTAAGTGGGACAAATAAGAAAAGTTTGAATTAATTTTATACTAATTGGTATAGCAAGGAAAATTCAGCTTCATCTATTTGACTCTTCATTTTAATGCTTGATCATAGCTAAAGTAACTTGATAAATTATACCATCTGATTGCCACTTTTTGTACTGTTAACCAACGGCTTCCAAAATCTTGAGATTCATTGCAATACTGCTGCTTTTACTTGGATTAACTTCTTTTTAATGGTTCACTCTTTGTCTGGTCTAGAAAATCATTAATTTTGACCTTGCGATCTTTAAGGATCCGAACATTGCTGGTGCTCATGCTTTAGATGCTCTTTCCATAAACCACATCGTTGTCCCAATATGTTATAGTCAAATTAAGGCATAATTCTTAAAATTCCTGGAATTACTTCTAATATAAATGAAATAGAGTTTAGTGCTCCGTTGATTTTTGTATTATCATATTCAGTTATCCAAACAGTGATGTAGAAAAGGCCTGTAATGTGTGATTTTGCAGTGTAACTCCAATCGACATACCTGATCAAGCGTGTATCTGTGGTCTTGCTGGACCTGACGAAAAGCATGCTTATAGCTGCATTAGTACTTTTATTACATCTTTCTGGTCTACTTTCAGGAAAAATATACACGTGCCAGAGATGACCCTTTTTTCGATGGCATGCGAAGAGGTGAGGCAGCAGTCATCAGCAAAGGAATTGGTCTAGACATTCTTAGAAAAGCCACAAAGAATGACATAACGAGGTCGGCCTCGGATGTTGGTAAACGAGGACAGAAAAAGATTCATGTGGAATTATCTGAAAATGATGCTTATTATGATAGAAATTTTACTAATTCAGATTCAGAAAGTTTTCGTGGACCTCTTGGTCAGTCATTCTCTGCGAGGTCATCAGCAGCTTCCACGATGAGTTCCTCCCCTTTGGGAAGTCCTCGGTCTGGCTTGAAGTTTGATTTGCATGATATAGATGAGTCTACCATGCAGTCTAGTCAAAGATCACTTGAAGCAAATGGAGTGTACTATTTTCCTAGTGGCTTACCTTTGCCTGCCTATGAAAGATCTTATAGCGTGACCAAGAGAAATACATCTATCTCTGACATTCCACTTCCTCAATCGGCAGCGTTGTTCTACTGCGGATATTCACCGCAGCTGGAAGTTGTTGGATCATGTCAAGGAATTCACAGGCTGAATATTTTTCTGAAGGCAAGAAGAGATGATGTTAGTGCAGGAGTTCCATCAAGATTCTTGCATGCAGTGATTGGCCCAGACTGCTGCGGTAAGCTCCATGAACCATTCATTCTCTAACTTAGAATTGCCTCCTCAGTAACCAGCTCCTGTTATTTCATTTAAGTTTAGCATGTTGCAATGTCTCAAAATAGTCCATGGATAAATAAAAGATTCTCAAGTTCGCAGTTTATCAGCATCCAACATATTCCTAAAGTATACACCGAGTTAAATTGGTCTTAATTTCATATCCAAAACTGTCCTCATTAGGGCTTAGAAGATCATCTCGAGAGGAGTGTTCATGATAGATATGTCCAGTATGTCCTTTGAAGTTTGATTTGAAAGTTAAGAATTTTGAGAGTACATTTAAGCTGTGGTTTGAAAGTGAAAAAAATATAAAGCTCAAGGTCTCAGGAAAGTGGTAAGAGTGCTGGAGATGAGGTGAAGTAAACAACAGAAGGCTAGAATGGATGGTAGACCATAGATATATGGCTTCATGGCAGCATCTTTAACTTGTCTTGTGGTGGAGAGAGTGAAACTACAAATGGCATGGTAAATCATCAGATAATCATGAAATTTTTTCCTTCATTTTGTTTTATATTTGATACTAGATAGAGCCCCATAAATGTTGGTCACCCAATTGAAATATGCTAGTTTTAAGAATACTTGTGTATAAAGAGTTGTATTCATGAATAAAGTAAATCAACAAAGGAGAATCAGTTGTTATTTGATTTGAAAAGCTAAGTAGCAAGCAGTGTACAATAGTCTGAAAGTGTTAAGCTTTAGATGATTCTACATTTTTTTTAAGGATAGTTAACTAGTTACTCGTGAACTGGATTTGTACAACATGGTCCAATTTATGTTTTGACTCATGAGCAGTATCCTAGCATTTCTTGCTATCAGTCCGCAAAATTTGAAGATTTACTGACATGATATATCTTCTATTTAAAGTTAAAGATTGTTTTCTCCACTTACCGACTTGGTTTAAGAATCTCAGAGAGAGGTTGAAGATCCTCATGTTGCTGATGATGCATGAATTCTATTAGAACAAATTTCTTGATGTTTGATTCTACTTAAACAGGGCCAAACTATACAAATACTAAAGCAAAGGTTACTTGTGTAGATAAAGTATCATAATGAATGATAATTTCCATACAATTATGGAGCCATGATGTCTCCAATTGAAAACATGAGCTACATAAAATGAGTGGATAATCCAATAGAGTAGAAGCTTCTGGAAAAAAGTTGCGAATGTCCTAAGCCTACAGCTAAAGAACGTAGATCCTAGTAAATCACTTCTGATTTTACCATTTGTTTTATTAGTATATATATTGCTCAGAAATTGTAATCGCATAAGTATTTCTTGTTGTTTATGTTTAAGGAGAAATGCACCATCTCCTTTGCCACGTGTAAAGATTTTGCAAATTGTTCAAGGTCACGGGTTCGAGCCGTGGAAGCAGCCAATAATGCTTGCATTAGGGTAGGTTGTCTATATCACACCCCTGGGGTGCGGCCCTTCCCCGTACCCTGCGTAAATACGGGATGCTTTGTGCACCGGGCTGCCCCCTTTTCAAGTTTAAGCTACCTCTTTCATTGAATACCACCTTATAGGACCAGAAGTATATAGGTTGTATACTCAGACAAAAAAGAGGTGGTCAGCTTATATAGTCCTTTGGCAATTATTGAGAAATCCTTGCTTCGTTTAATTTATCGATTGCAGCACAGAAGGAAAAGTCCTTATTAAGAGAGCAATCAGTAGCTTGAACATTCAATACGTGTCTGGTGATCATTTGTAACAACTTGCATCTTACATTGGTTGACTTTAATCGTATGTTTTTTTTTGCCATCTGGATGCAGATGTTGGATCTGTTGCTTCAACCATAACGTATGCTTTTTACTTGAATGAAACATTAAATGACAACCAGTTATGCACTGTGCCCGTCATCAACATGAAGAGGTCGGACATTCATTCTCATGCTGAGCTCAGATGGCTACTTGATTCTTGCTTTCTTGATAAATCTTCCTTGATTTTTATTGATGAGGTATGTTCCATTCTATATGCAAAGTTAGTGAAAGGAAATGAGACTGTAGTCTAAATTCTCTAGACTTAGGTCCGCATAGTAAATGAATTTCCAGGAATGTCATCCAAACTACTGATCTGCTTTCCTTGGAAAGCTTGAAGATCTTGTCTTTTATTCTAACAAAAAAAAGTCTCTACTTTCTGCTATACTCTAAATATGGACATACTACTTGGTTCTTATTCAATTGATAGCTTGATAATTTTTATGTCTCAAAAGTTTTAATTATGTTCTCTTCATTAAACTTTCAACAGATTGACCTTTCCTACTACGATTTATATGGGAGTCTTAAACTTGTTTTAGTCAACCAATGCAAGCTTCCAGCTAATCAGGAGGTAAGTGCTTTGTTTCAAGTGTGCTGATTTGCTATTAATCAGTTGAATAATTAGTTGCTGCTTACTGGAACAGGCATTAAAGGATGCAGTGGTTGAAATCTTCAATTGCAGAGAGGTTCTTTTTATTTTGGTTTTCTTTTTTCTGTTTCTCCATTATACTTTGACTATGTCAAGTAGTAAAGTCTGTTAAATAGAGTGAGGCTATGCTCTGACCTTTTCTGTTTAAGCAGGAAAATACACCTTATTCTTCAGTTGGTTCTATCACCCTTGGGAAGGTATTTTCCTCATTTCCATAAGAAATATAGGGGAAAATCGACATACGAATAAATGTTATTTTCCTTGATTTGTCTTCTATGTTCTAAAAACACTATTTTCATACGTTTAACAGCTCTTGATCTTAAACTGGTTAACGGAGACTAGTTTTGCTAAGCAGCACTAAATTCGATTTCATAAATATTTATGCAAATGCTTTATTTGGTGGAAGTTTGACTTAGTCCAGTGTAGCTTGTGCTCCAATAAATTTAAGAACAACTAGAGAAATATTACTGCAAGATTTTGCAGATGTTGGAGAAAGTTAGGCCTTGGGCAACCCTCACCTCATGAGCTAGCTTTCGATGTTGAGTTAGGCCTAAGGGTCATTTTATTTACACAATCAACTTGCTGCCGGGAGCCAAATGATTGTTCTTACTTCTACTTGACGTATTTTATGTACTTATTTATTTATTGTAGGAGGCATCATGCTGCACACTTATTGCTGACAAGTTTGCATGCACTGCACCAGAGATACTGGCGGGTCAAGGGTTCAGTCGACTTCTGGTACTAGCTCTAATATCTGGGTTTTCAAACCTCTATGCAAGTTATATTTGTCTAAACTGAAGTCCTCTATTATGTTTTAAAACCATTCCTTTTCTTCATCTCCCTAACTACCAGAACCGCTGTTGTTTGGACTTGTAAAACAGAAAAAAGATACTGTTATTTGGTACCGATGCCTGAAGTCTCAGAACCTGTTTTCAACCAATATATTATGATAGAAATCTGAAAGAATCGCAAATTAATTAGACTCCCAGTTGAATTCAAATATTTTGAGACGGCCTTAGGACCAAGTAATTCCAAAGATATGAAGGTGAAAAATATGATGAGAATTTTAAACTGCAACAAAATCCCAGTGGTAAATGAAAAGCTTACCCTTTCCAAATGAAGGTTTTGCCCAGAGGTGGAGATTGGATTTTTAGTTTATGGGTTCTGAACCACAATCCTTTTTTCTTATTGGGTTCTGGATAAATTATTTATACATATCAAATGAATTTTTAATACAAACTCAGGGTTTGAGCCTAAGCTATTGGGTTCCGCTGAACCCGTAACTGTAAAGGTGGCTCTGCCCCTGGTTTTTCCTGGTTCTTGTGATTAGTATCGATAAATTATATTGTTCATAGCTGTAACGAAGCTGGACCCTTCATTTATATTCATGTTGTTTTTTGTTAGGAAGTGTGAAAGAGGGTCCTATTGTATTTTTAATGGTGAAAAGATTTGTAAGAGTAATAGCAACTCCAATGTGGAAATAAAGACACTATTTTGAGACGGATCATATTAGAATCAATCATTTTAGTATGAGATGAACTTTGTATGCATTTGATTTTTGATTTTTTATAAAAAGCTTTATCTGCATTTAATCCTGGAAACAAATTTCCAAAAACTTCTAATATTCTCAGTTCTTGGTGAATATTTGTAATACATTGTATTCAATTGAGGTATCTAGCAACTTTTAAGAGAATTAGTTTGTACTTTTGTTATCTGGTTCTAGTGTACCTGACCAGATACAATTTGCTGAGGGATTTATAAAATTCTCATCTGTTTCCTACCCCCCACCTCCCACCTTGGAAAACCTTATGGTAGGCATTAACATAAAGTGCAAAATTCTATTAAATCATTTAGTTTCCGAGGCTGTAAAAGTTTTCAAATTGGTCCCTGCATTCAAATCCTTGTTGATGCACAATCCTTCCCCACTTCTATCGATTCTTTTGATCTATGTTGCTCGGACTCTTCAAAAATGTCGGCGGGTGCGGTCGGATCCTCCAAAAGTAGTGCATTTTTGGAGGATCCGACACGGGTACGGCAACATATTTAGAGAGTCCGCGCAACATAGCTTTTGATAACAATGAACAATACACAAGCTCCTACTAAAACATGTTCATGTATCTTTTTAAATGTTCAACACAATTTACTTGTCAGCTCTGCCATGAAAATTGAATACGGGCACTATATTTGGCAATTCAATTTGTGAAAGATATCCTCTTCTTCTTATCCCTACCTATAGCATAGGTCCAGCTGTTTGCTTTGCCTACACTTTGGGTTTCTCTGGATGGCATAAGGACTTAAACTATCTTAACCAATGCCCTTATTGTGTCAAGGGTTCTGTCTTTATGCTGTATAATCTCTTCATAAATCTGATTACTTGTGCAGTTAGCAGGTATACTCGTCGATACTGGAAATTTGACAAACCCACAGACTACAACAACGGATAAGTACATGACCACCTTGTTGATAAATGGAGCAGGTCGATTTGGATGTAACGGTCTTTATGAAATTTGTAGGTTATGCAGCTTTGATAGCCGTTATTCTTCACTATTATAGGTTTCTAGTTCCAGAGTGATCAGACTCAGCTCCCAATTACAACTTTGTCATTTTCAGTTAGATACAAATTGCATGATGCAACTGACCCAAAGCAGGAGAAGTTTTACAAAAAGATATTAAAAGATTGTCAAAACCGGATGCAGCTGACCCCAGAGCAAAAGTTTTGCAAACAGATATTAAAAAGTTGTCAAAGTCAGATGCAGCTGAGCCCAGAGCCGGAGAAGTTTTACAGAAAGATAATATAAATTTGTCAAAATTGGATGAAGCTGACCCCAGAGCAGGAGAAGTTTTACGGAAAGATATTAGAAGATGGTCAAAATCGGGTACTCATCTGCTTATCTTTGTCCTAATCACAGACCTTTCTATTTCAAATCCATGATTTATTAGCTTTCGTAGATGCCTTGTTCAAGTACGCATCTTTAAACTAGATGATTCATTTCTGTAGTAGGATACGAGCACAGATATATTAAACTATAATTCGTATTGGTGTTCAAACTTTTATAAAGACCAAAGGCTAACAGGTGCTGAAATGTAACCATGAAATTAGTTAATTATGTGAGAATGCACGGGAGAAAAATATGATATTATTCACATATGTTAACTATGATACAATGAGCCCTATATATGGGATTAGGGTTATTTACTACTATTTACATAACTATTCTAACACTCCCCCTCTAGCTGGTGCATATAAATCATATGTACCGAGCTTGTTACATATGTAGTTAATTCGAGGACCAGTGAGGGACTTGGTGAAAATATCTGCAAGCTGATCATTCGACTTCACAAACTTTGTAGCAATATCTCTCGAGAGTATCTTTTCTCTGACAAAGTGACAGTCAATCTCAATGTGTTTAGTTCTCTCATGGAACACTGGATTTGACGCAATATGAAGAGCAGCTTGGTTATCACAAACAAGTCCCATCTGACTAATCTCACCAAATTTTAACTCCTTGAGCAACTGTTTGATCCAAATTAGCTCGCATGTCGCCATAGCCATTGCTCGATATTCTGCTTCTGCACTAGACCGAGCAACCACATTTTGTTTCTTGCTCTTCCAAGACACCAAATTTCCTCCTACTAAGACGCAATATCCAGACGTAGAACGTCTATCAGAAGGTGATCCTGCCCAATCAGCATCTGAGTATCCAACGATTTGCTCATGGCCTCGATCCTCAAACAATAAACCTTTGCCTGGAGCTGATTTTATATACCGAAGAATGCGGATAACTGCATCCCAATGACTATCACACGGAGAATCCATAAACTGACTCACAACACTCACAGGAAAGGAAATGTCAGGTTTTGTCACTGTAAGGTAATTTAATTTACCAACCAACCGCCTATATCTTGCAGGATCGCTAAGAGGCTCCCCCTGTCCTGGCAGAAGTTTAGAATTCGGATCCATCGGAGTGTCAACAAGTCTACAACCTGTCATTCCTGTCTCCTCAAGAATATCTAAGGCATACTTCCGTTGTGAGATCACAATACCTGAGCTAGACTGAGCGACCTCAATACCCAGAAAATACTTTAGTTTGCCTAGATCCTTAGTCTGAAAGTGTTGAAAGAGATGTTGCTTCAATTTAGTAATACAATCCTGGTCATTGCCGGCAATAACAATCATCAACATAGACCACTAGATAAAAACAGAGACTAGAAGCAGAATGCCGATAAAATACAGAGTGATCAGCTTTACTCCGAGTCATGCCAAACTCCTGGATAACTGTGCTGAACTTACCAAACCAGGCTCGAGGAGACTGTTTTAGACCATAAAATGACCGGCACAAGCGACATACAAGGCCACGAGACTCCCCCTAAGCAACAAACCCAGGTGGTTGCTCCATATAAACTTCATCCTCAAGGTCACCGTGTAAAAAAGCATTCTTAATCTCCAGCTGATAGAGAGGCCAATGGCGAACAACAGCCATGGATAGAAAAAGGCGGACTGATGCTATCTTAGCCACGGGAGAGAAAGTGTCACTATAATCAAGCCCAAAAATCTGAGTGTATCCTTTTGCAACAAGACGAGCCTTAAGACGATCAACCTGGCCATCCGGGCCGACTTTGACTGCATAAACCCAACGACAACCAACAGTAGACTTACCTGAAGGAAGAGGAACAAGCTCCCAAGTGCCACTCGCATGTAAAGCAGACATCTCCTCAATCATAGCTTGTCGCCATCCTGGATGAGATAGTGCCTCACCTGTAGACTTTGAGATAGAAACAGTGGACAAAGATGATATAAAAGCATAATAAGGTGATGACAGACGATGATAACTTAAACCGACATAATGGGGACTAGGATTAAGAGTGGATCGTACACCTTTGCGGAGTGCAATTGGTTGACTAAGAGGAGACAAGTCCGCAGTAGGTGCAGAATGTGATGCAGGACGTGAATCACCTGGGCCTAATGCTGTACGTGGACGATGATGATAAGTCAAGAGTGGTGGAGCTGCAGAAGGTTGAACTGGACTAGGTGGTAGAACTGGAGCTATAGGTGGTGGAGCTGCAACTGGAGCAGTAGGTGGTAGAGCTGCAACTGGAGCAGTAGGTGGTGGAGCTGCAACTGGAGCAGTAGGTGGTGGAGCTGGAGTTGTAGAGGAAATGAATGCGAGGTAGTGACTGAATCTTCAAAAGATGAAACTGGTAGCACCTCAGAAATATCTAAGTGATTACCTGGATCTGTGAAGTATGATTGGGTTTCAAAGAAGGTAACATCAGCAGACATAAGATACCAATGGAGGTCAGGAGAATAGCATCGATACCCCTTTTGCTTTCTCGAGTAACCCAGAAATACACACTTAAGAGCACGAGGAGCTAACTTATCTTTTCCTGGAGTAACGTTATGAACAAAACACGTGATTCCAAAGACACGGGGTGGAAGAGAGAACAAAGGTAAGTGGGGAAACAGGACAGAGAATGGAACTTGATTTTGGACAGCTGAAGATGACATACAATTAATAAGATAGGAAGATGTAAGAACAGCATCCCCCCAAAAACGCAACAGAGCATGAGATTGTATGAGTAGGGTACGAGCAGTTTCAATAAGATGTCTATTCTTTCTTTCAGCTACCCCATTTTGTTGAGATGTGTACGGACAAGATGTTTGATGAATGATCCCATGAGAGTTCATAAACTGTTGAAATGTGGAAGACAAATACTCTAGGGCATTATCACTACGAAATGTGCGGATAGAAACCCCAAATTGATTTTGAATTTCAGCGTGGAAGGTCGAGAAAATAGAAAACAACTCAGACCGATTTTTCATCAAAAATATCCAAGTGCACCTTGAATAATCATCAATGAAACTGACAAAATAGCGGAATCCCAAGGTAGAACTGACCCAACTAGGACCCCGAACATCTGAATGAACTAAAGTAAAAGGTGACTCTGCTCTATTATCAAGACGCCGAGGAAAATGGGAGCGGGTATGCTTACCGAGCTGACATGGCTCACACTCTAGAGTGGACAAGTGAGATAAACCAGGTACCATTTTCTGAAGTTTTAACAAACCGGGATGTCCCAACCGTTTATGTAATAAATCTGGTGAATCGGAAACAAGATAGGTTATTGAAGAAGACAGATGCGAGTCCATGTGATTTGCAAGGATAAGGTAATAAAGTCCATCTGATTCACGTCCGGTACCAATGATCCGCCCCATACTGCGTTCCTGTATAAAAACAAGGTCATCAAGAAATAAAACAACGAATTTAAGTGATCTGGCTAAGCGACTAACGGCTATGAGATTAAAAGGACTATTGGGAACATAAAGGACTGAATCTAAAGGTAAGGAAGGAAGCGGGCTTGCTTGACCTATTGCAGTTGCCATGGTTTGAGACCCATTAGCCATTGTGACTGCTGGAAGAGATTGAGAATATGAAATACTAGTGAAAAGAAGATTTGTTACAGAAATATGATCAGATGCACCTGAATCAATGACCCAAGACTCAGAAGTTGAAGATTGGGAAGACACAAGTCATGCTACTATTTGTTGGAACAACAGAGGCTAATCCTGAAAATGTCTGTTTACGTGCTTTGTACTGAAGGAACTCAATATAATCCGGTAAAGAAACCATCTAGATTGGATTCAATGCATTGGATCCAACGGATTGTGAGTTAAAGGCTTCTGATACGAATGCCATTATAATATTGTGCCGGAAAAAGCAGAAATTTTCTGGGAATCACTGTTCACGCCGGAAAAATCATTGTAGCTCACCGAAAAATTCCAAAGTTGTCGGAATCTGTCGGAAATAGTACAATGGACTCGGAATTTATGTGCGTCTAGGCTGTCTCAAGAAGCTTGGCCAAAAAATGGCCGGAGAAGCACGCACGCGCCGGAAAAATATAAAAGTGGTCGGAATTTGGTTTAAATTGGAATGGGTAGGCTGGAATTGCAAGGAGATGACACTGTCCAAAAGAAACGTTTCCAATTTCTGGCCGGAACAGCCCTCACGCGCCGGCGCGTGGGGGCGCGTGGTTGGTCTTTTTCAGGTGAATCTTTCTGGGGTGTGGTCGCCTCCTCTCTTGGGAACCTTGTGGTGGTGTTGGATTTCGCACAACACTGATAATTAGTGACTTTGACGTAAATAGTCACTTAGGTCACCGGAAAATCGCACGGTGACTGAGTTCTTTCTTCCGGAGTCGCCGGAGTTTATGCAGCAACGATAAATATCTCACGATTGCTCTGACACCATGTGAGACTGCATGGGAGAAAAATATAATATTATTCACATATGTTAACTATGATACAATGAGCCCTATATATATATATATATATATATATATATATATATATATATATATATATATATATATATATATATATGTAAAATACATGTTCTACTCCTAATACATATGGGATTAGGGTTATTTACTACTATTTACATAACTATTCTATCAAATTAAAGTACACCTAGCTACAAATATGGATTACTAGATTTTCCATACTCACAAGTATCACTTCATCTTTTATGAGTGTTCCTAGAATGTGTAATTAGATTCTCAAACCTCTGGCTAGCCACACAGTAATTTTATCTAAGCCAGATTCTGTTTTTCTTTTTTCTTGACAAGTATTTGGCTAGCAATAACTCTTAGGAAGGAACTATAAGATGGTCTACAGGCTTCTGTCGAGTAAATTGATGAAACCATATTATAGTTAGAATTTACACATAGCTTGGATATTTGAGAAACTTCCTTGGAGTTTACATTCTTAGTGGGCTCATTTCACACATTTTGAGGTCATGGACATGATATGCCTCATGCAACGTTTGTAGTGTATTATTAATGTGACTGACCTTCAGTGATTGGAGCAGGGAAACCTTATGGTACAGGATCAAGAATGGGGACTTCAAATATTGGAATGAGTTCAGTCGGAATACCTATAGGGGAGCTCTTATCACATCACTCTACTTCAGCAGAAAACATAAGAAGTTTCCAGCGTAAGTAATTGATACTGCTCCTTTTCCAATTTGGAAGCATAAATATTTCAATCAGTGACTAATCACAAGAAAATTGTGATCATATCTCCAACTGTAGCTCTTTTTCATATGATCCACTCAATCTGGCTAATCTTATTGACCACTGAGAGAAAATCCTCTAGCTAGCTGGCCAGTATTCTTTGTTAGATAAATTGCTTAAACTCCCCCCCCTCCTTTTTTTCCCCTCTCTTTCTCTCAGTGCCATTCTTTAATCAAGTTCATGTAGTCTCAAATATGACAACCCTTTTGGTCCTTATCTGCAGTTACTATGGCAGTGGTAGAACTTTTTTCAATCTCTCCCTCATCTTATCGATCCATCCTCATCAAGGAAAATATATATATATATATATATATATATATATATATATATATATATATATATATATATATATATATCATGCTGCAAGAATTCTTTTACTGTTGTGTGCTAGGATGAGGGGACGAGGTTCTGGTCTGGTAGAGAGTTAAAACCTTTTTACCTTCTGTTCTGCCTAATGACATTATACTTTCACTCATCGTGAATATGCTTTGGCAAATATAACTTTGACAGCAGGGAGATACGACACCTTGGCTTGACAATCATTTTCTTTTCGATATGCAGAACTAGAGAAACTTCGCATCCTCTTGATTGTTTCAGGGTATTATGATGCAGAGAAGAGCTTCAAGGTTTAGTGGCCTCCTCTTTGAATGCTTGCTCTAATTTTGATGGATCAAGTTGCTCGATGTTGTGTCTGACAGATTATTCTACTTTTGTGTTATATTGTTGCATGGTGGCTTATTATTAAATTTGTATCTTGGAACAATATAAATCTTTATTTCTAAATTCTCATTGCGACTTATTTTTAGCGGCTTTTTGGGTGAAGTTTTCCTTTTGTCTCATTCATAAAAGAAAATTTCCAATTTGTTTATGCGAACAGAAGGATGGCTCTGTGTTGTGTGTACTTCTATGAACTGGATGTATGTGATATGGGATATACCATTTTGCTGATATTCAAGCACTCTGACCATATTACTGGCTTTCAATTTTAGAGGGAGATTCTAGTCTCAGCTGAATCTACTGAGCTTATGAAAAGCCTGCTCCAGTTTATCTACTCCTACGCAAATGTGCTTCCACTCAAAGCTTTGCGTCAATCAGGTCAGTAAGCTATATTTCTTCATATATAACTTTATCCGTCTCAAGAAGATCTTTGTCTTGAAACCATATTTCACCAGCTTTTTTGGGTATCAAGAATGCATAGAAATGAAAGTCGTTTATTACATGGAAGTAGGGATTTTTTAAGAGGAAAAGAAAAATAATTAGCTGGCTCTTATATATACCCATTACTGTCTTTTTCTTCTGCTCTTTTTCTTTTTTCTTCTTTCCCTTACTGACCCTAGATGCAATTTCATGAACTACCATTTGAGTGTCTAGACATACCCTTTCCCATATGCTGGGTGTGATCTCTTGATGTAATTTTACAGGTCTAGCTACTGAGATGAGGGTGTTCGAGATTGAAAAAATTGTATCAAGGAAGACGATTGAGAAACTTCTGGAAGAATTCAACGAGATGGCAAAATAATATAAAATTTACAGGCCATTCCACATTTGTTGTTGTGTTAAGAATATGCATATATCTCATGTTCCAATAAGGGTCAAGAGTATACATGTGTGTTACTTTAGTAGCTCCAAAGAACCTCTATATCTACTAGTTACTACAGGATGTTTGTTTCTCTTCCAAACATAGTCTGTATGTATTGTGATAATACTGCCACATATATGGCGATAATCATTTCATTTTTTTAGTGCTCGCACCAAATATGTCGAAAGGGGTTCTAATTTCTTCTTGTGGAAGTTACTGCTGGTGATGTTATTGTCACTATAAGTGGTGATTATCTTTTCTTTCTTGTAAATGCAAGTATATAATGCTCTACCAGCATAGAGTTTCTTCGGGTACTACATGTTTTATTGCAAGACAATTCTATATAATCTTGGTTATCAACCACCTACTTCTCAATCTATTCAAAGGAAATTGTTACTATGATTGCAGAAACAGGTGAAAGGATATCACCAGGGCTTTTCATTTTCACTTGGGCAAAAATTGCATACTTACTGTTACGCGGCGCCTTCCTGAGATTCCTTGGAAGGGCGACGTAAGGCTAGGCAACCGATGTCAGTGCAGTTGCTGTCCGCCAACTGAGGTCCCCTCCGTACGCTAGACGAGATTGTCAGTGCCGTACGGGAAAACCAATGTCAAGAGCAATTGAGAGAACAGAAATGAGAATTCAGAATGAAAGAAAGCTTGATTGCATTAATGAAAGCTATTACAGAAAAGCAACGCGGTGTCGAGGGGGAGAGACACCAGTACAGAGAATTGCTTGCTTGCTAGAAAGTTTTGATTGCTTGATCCCCCCTAATAGTACTTAAAAAAAATAATCCAAAGTTACAAGACTAGACTTGACTAAGCTAGAGAAACATAATGGAAGTACATGAAATAAAACTACTCTATATTTACAATGAAAATGACTTAGTTTTCTATAAGGCAGCAGCAGGTCCGTTGTCAGCAGCAGTGCCTTTGGCATCACGGTCTGCGCGCGCGACGTTGTCTGCGCGCGCGGCGCTGTTGGCTTCTGCCTGCGGCTTGGCGCTCGCGAGGGATATCGGTGGGGCGACAGAGGCACCTGCGCGCTTGTCACTTGGCGCGGCCAGGACCACGGGGCCGTCCGTGGCGCTAGGCATTGGGAGGTTTGCTAGGACGCCACGGGGCCGCCCAAGGGGTCATGGGGCATGGCTGGAAAGCCGCCCATGACATTCTCCCCCACCTGAGTTGGCGACGTCCTCGGCGCCTTACTTGCAAAATAATCTTCAATGAGGCTCTTGTAGGCTTTGAGGTTTGTTCCCCTCTCCCAAGTATTCTCTTCTGCATCACAGCCCTGCCATTTCACCAAAAACTCTTGGTGATCTTTCCTTGAGGCATGAATCACTCTGTCATCAAGGATAGCTTCAACACGCCTTTTCCCGGTTGAATTGGGACCTCGAATACTGGGTATTGTGAGCTGGCTCCTTGAAGGATCCTCCGTGTCTTCCCGAAAAGGTTTCAGGAGACTGACATGGAAGACAGGATGAATTTTCCACCAAGCTGGGGTATCCACCCGGTATGCAACCTTCCCAATACGCTTTTCAATGGACAAGGGTCCAATGTATTTTTGCAATAGGCGAGGGTCATGGACCCCTGCAAATAAGTACCGCTTTGGAATTTTGACCATCACTTTGTCTCCTACTTGATATTCAACAAAGCGACGATTCTGATCAGCATGCCTCTTCATCCGCTTTTGGGCTTTGACAAGTTAGCTCTGCACTATCTCCAAATTCCGCTTCCACTCTTTTGAGAAGCTGGCAGCTCGAGGAGATTTAGCCATGTTTGGTGCATTCACAGTGTGTGGGAGTAGCGGTTGCTGTCCGGTAACAATTTCAAAAGCGCTTTTGTTGGTACTAGAGCTCTTTTGTGAATTGAAACACAGTTGAGCAGCATCCAGAAGCTTCACCCAATTCTTCTGCGATCCGGTTACAAAGTGGCGGAGATATTCCTCCAACATACCATTGAACCGCTACGTCTGGCCATCAGATTGCGGATGAAAACTTGAGCTGTGACTCAATTTTGACCCAAGGCACTTGAAGAGTTGGGTCCAAAAGTTGCTAGTGAAGCGTGAGTCGCGGTCACTAACAATGTCTTTAGGCAGGCCCAATATTTGACGACATGAGAGAAGAAGAGTCGAGTTGTATCTTCTGCTGATATATATTGTGGGGCTGCAATAAAGGTGGCATACTTGGAAAATCGGTCCACCACAACCAAGTTGGTTGTGAGATCTCCGACCTTGGGCAATCCGGTGATGAAATCCAGGGAAACGCTTTCCCAAGGTCTCTTTGGGACAGCGAGTGGTTCCAAGAGTCCCGCTTGTGTCAAGCGGTCCGACTTGTCCTTCTGGCATACTAGATAAGTCTTCACATACTGAGCGACATCATCGGCCATTTGAGGCCAATAATAGGCACGACGAAGTAACGCCATGGTGCGTTCTTCACCGGGATGGCCGGCCCACAAAGTATCATGACATTCCGCTAGAAGAGTCCTCCGCAAATCTCCTCCTTTAGGAACATAAAGTCGGTTCCCTTTTACTTTCAGAAAACCATCTTCCATGTAGAACTGGCGAGTCTTGCCCTGTCCTACCAAATCAACCAAATACTGAGCAGCAGGATCCTTGATGAGTAGATCCCGTATTTGGTCCTTGATGGATGTGGCTACTTCACTCCCCCTTAGGGTGGCGAGTAGGCACACCGATGCTAGATCAGCTCTCCGACTGAGCGCATCAGCAACATGATTGGTCTTTCCACTGCGATACTCCAAGTTGAAGTGGAATTCAGCTAGGAGTTCCTGCCACCTGGCCTGTCGACCGTTCAGCTTCGGCTGGGTCATGAAATGGCTAACAGCTGTGTTGTCTGTCTTGACCACGAACGGGGTTCCCAGCAGATAGTGCCTCCAGAGGCGCAAGCAGTGGACGACAGCCAATAATTCTTTCTCATGGGCGGCATAGCGCCGCTCTGCATCCTTCAGCTTCCGACTCTCGTACGCTACAGGGTGCCCTTCTTGTAGCAAGACTCCGCCGAGGGCATAGTCAGATGCATCTGTTTGTACCTCGAACGGCTTGGCCAAATCAGGAAGGGCCAAGACGGGGCTACTAGACATAGCCGCTTTTAATGCGTTGAAGGCCTCTGCTCTCCTTGGTCCCCAGTCCCAAGGTGTGACCTTTTTGAGGAGTTCTGTCAATGGCACTGCGATAAGTGAGTAGTTCTTCACAAACCGCCGGTAGAAGTTGCATAGACCAAGGAACGCCCTCAAGGCGTGGACATCCTTAGGTGGCGGCCAATCTGTGATGGCCTGGATTTTCTATTGGTCCATCTTGATGCGTCTTTCCTCGATGACATGTCCGAGGAAGTCAATTTGCTTCTGAGCAAAGGAGCACTTGGATAACTTTGCATATAGTTCATGTTCCCGCAACCGAGTTAGGACCTTCCGCAAGTGTACTAGGTGTTCTTCCAATGTCTGGCTATATACCACAATGTCATCTAAGTAGACCACCACAAATTCGTCGATGTACTCTCGGAAGACTTGGTTCATGAGAGTGCAAAACGTAGCAGGGGCGTTGGTCAAGCCGAATGGCATGACCAGGAAGTCGTACGACCCATATCTTGTCACACAAGTCGTCTTGTGTTCATCACCCTCTGCAATCCGAACTTGCCAATAACCTGTCTTCAGATCTATCTTGGTGAACACCGTAGCACCACCCAGTCTATCAAACAAGTCCGCCATTAGGGGAATAGGGTACTTGTTCTTCATGGTGATTTTGTTTAGAGCTCGATAATCCACACAGAGTCGCAGGCTGCCATCATGTTTCTTTTGGAATAGAATAGGGGACCCATATGGGGACTTGGAGGGTACAATGATCCCTGTATCTAGCATTTCCGTCAATTGTCTCCGAAGCTCGGTGAGTTCGGATTGTGACATTCTGTAAGGCACCCGGGCAGGTGGCTTCGCGCCCGGCACCAACTCAATTTCATGGTCCACAGTGCGCCTAGGCGGGAGCCGCTTTGGCATGTCTTGTGGCATGACATCTTCAAACTCCAGTAGTAACTCCTTCACGGGTTCAGGAATGGGACCCGAGGAGCGTTCTATATCTTCAATGCAGAGGGTTGCCAGGAACGTAGGTTCATTCCTTTTGACCCCCTTCTTCAACTGCAAGGCCGAGATGTTCTCAACGGCCATCTTCATGGGCAGGCACGGGATAATGCAGGGCTTGGCCCTATTGGTACCCATCATCAGTAGCATGTCTGCAAATGGTACAGGCATGGTGTTGGTTTGCCTTAGGAATTCCAGCCCAACAATCAACTCGAAGTCATCTATGATCACCACTCGCAGGTTGAATTTTCCTTCATAAGGCCCAAGCTTCACCGGTACTTCTTTAGCTATTCCACCCACTGGCTGGGGAGGTGAGTTGATAGCCTTGACGCTACCTTTACCTTTCCCTACAACTAGTCCAAGGCGCTCCACCTGAGTCGAGGCTAAGTAGTTGTGGGTAGCACCCGTGTCTATCATAGCCCGAATGGGCTTGCCATTCACCTTCATCTCGACGAACATTAAGGTCCTCTCTTGTTTAAGAGGAGTCTCTTCATTCGCCTTCTTTTTCCCTTTCCTGGTGACAGGACATGGGTCCTTCTTCTTACGAATACCAGCACTGGTCTCCGCTAGTGCCTCAGAAATGGAACCCACAATTGCATTGAAGGCACCTACTGGTTCAGTCTGGTCCGCATCGTCTGAGTCGTCATCAGTCCCATCATCAATAGCCTGATGGGCATTCATCTGTGCATGTGGGCACTCATTGTTCCAATGTGGACCGCCGCAATGACGGCATCCTGAAGGAGGCTTTCTCGCCCGATCATTGTTGTTTGGCGCAGCACTGTTGCTGCCGGAGGAAGGAGCTCTAGATTTGTTTGAGTTCCGATCTCCCCCATTTTTGCTAGGACCACCACTGCTGGGCTGGCCCCCTTTGAACCCTGCTCGGGCAGGCGGCTGAGGCCTGTCCCTTCGAGCTTCCATTTGATAGTCCCCAAGGCATTCAGCTGCTTGGATTGCCTTGGGAAGGGAATCTACCCTTTGTCTCTGTAGCTCCACGCGGGCATAAGGTTTCAACCCTTCCATGAAGGTGAAGAGTTTGTCCTTATCCCCCATGTCGCGTATGCTGAGCATGAGTGCGGAGAATTCTCGCACGTAGTCCCGCACTGATTTTGTCTGGCGGAGCTCCCGTAGTTTTCTCCTTGCATTATATTCAACATTCTCGGGGAAGAACTGCAGGCGTATAGCTGCCTTCAGTTCGACCCATGTCTCGAGAGCATCTTCACCGGCCTTGATGGCTTCGTACTTCACACGCCACCAGAGTTTAGCATCACCCTGAAGATACATGGCAGCAGTTGCTACCTTCTTAGCTTCCTCCAGATCCCCAACAGTATCAAAATACTGTTCGACGTCAAAGATGAAGTTTTCCACTTCCTTGGCATTCCTAGATCCACTGTATGGCTTTGGCTCAGGAAATTTTCAGTTTCTTTGTCGCGGAAGCGGAGTTCACAGCACCTCCGATTTGGTTTCCACCTCCTCGGAGTAGGCCCTGTAAAGCAGCGTTGACCACATTGAGTTGGTCTGTCAATTTGTCAATGGTTTGTTGCATGGCAGTCACCTTTTCTGCCTCTTGTGCCCTGTGGGCTAAATCCTCGGTGCGCTCCTGTTGGAGCCCCTCGAATTTCTCAAAGATTTCGGCTGCCTCTGTGGCTGCCGTCTGCCGGTCTCCCTCGGAGTCGCGACTGATGTTTTCAACGTCAACTTCCACCTGAAGCACCCTGCGGTCCAGGTCGTCCAACCTTTGTAGTAGGCTGGTTCTTAGTTCAGGCACCGTATCCACAATAGGCCGCAATACCTCAACCGTCCCTTCGAGGGCCGCAATGCGGTCCCCATGATTCACCATGGTCAGAAATGGTGGTATGTCAATACGTTCCCTCGTCCGATGTCGAGCCTAGGCTCTGATACCAACTGTTACGCGGCGCCTTCCTGAGATTCCTTGGAAGGGCGACGTAAGGCTAGGCAACTGATGTCAGTGCAGTTGTTGTCCGCCAACTGAGGTCCCCTCCGTACGCTAGACGAGATTGTCAGTGCCGTACGGAAAAACCAATGTCAAGAGCAATTGAGAGAACAGAAATGAGAATTCAGAATGAAAGAAAGTTTGATTGCATTAATGAAAGCTATTACAGAAAAGCAACGCGGCGTCGAGGGGGAGAGACACCAGTACAGAGAATTGCTTGCTTGCTAGAAAGTTTTGATTGCTTGATCCCCCCTAATAGTACTTAAAAAAAATAATCCAAAGTTACAAGACTAGACTTGACTAAGCTAGAGAAACATAAAGGAAGTACATGAAATAAAACTACTCTATATTTACAATGAAAATGACTTAGTTTTCTATAAGGCAGCAGCAGGTCCGTTGTCAGCAGCAGTGTCTTTGGCATCACGGTCTGCGCGCGCGGCGTTGTCTGCGCGCGCGGCGCTGTTGGCTTCTGCCTGCGGCTTGGCGCTCGCGAGGGATATCGGTGGGGCGACAGAGGCACCTGCGCGCTGGTCACTTGGCGCAGCCAGGACCACGGGGCCGTACGTGACGCTAGGCATTGGGAGGTTTGCTAGGACGCCACGGGGCGCGCCCAAGGGGTCATGGGGCATGGCTGGAAAGCCGCCCATGACATTACACTTGCAGTGCAATTGTTTGGCTTAAACTTCTTTTATTTTTCCAAGTTAATATTCTTCATTCTCTCAGAGATAATTACCTTATTCTTCGTCAGCAGACAACATGTTAAACCAGACTTTTAAGTGTGTTCCTGAGAAATAACTCTGTGGCAACCATCTCAAACAAAATGAAGGCATCCATTCCTCTTGTTATTTCAAACTAAACTTTAGTGTTTGATATATGAAGCTGTGGTTTATTTCCCTTCACCTTCTTTTACACGAAATGGTATCCGGCCATGTAAAAGGTTTTTTCTTCTTCTTTTTCTTTCTTTCGATCCAAAAAAACTTTGGACAAATTCCTTCAAGGTTGGTGTGTCGTTTAATCTATTGTAGCAAGTGATCGACGACTAGGAACTTGTTGAGAGATGACCTTAGCAGTATCTCTCCACCAACCGATCTCTTTTTCTTTTTCTTCAAGCTTTTGCATGGTGGATTCTAAAGCTGACTCCAGTTCTTTGATCCTTTCTTCTTGCCTTGTCTGTAGAAGCTCATGTAGCTTCCTGTTTAATTCTTCTGCTGGAACTCCACAGTTTTCAATTGTTACACAGGCATTAGGGTTGTATACTTCTGTAAAGCTTGTGCTAAGGCTTCCTTCTGAGCTATCCATAATCTGCCACAATTGAAGTTCACTACTTGAGGTCTTACACAAAACTAATTAGAAAATTATAACCGTGGAAATAGCCTCTTGCAGAAATGCAGGGTACGGCTGCGTACGATAGACCCTTATGGTCCGGCACTTCCCCGGACCCCGCGCATAGCGGGAGCTTAGTTGCACCGGGCTGTCCTACACTATGCTAAACTAAAAGCAATTTAGTATAGTCATGTCGTACTCCAATTTATAATCGAAACAAATGTAACTGCTAACAGAACGTACCTCAGCATTCTCTTGTGTTGGATATTTCAACATGACTTCTGAATCTGAATGAAATTGCAAACGTTCTAATTCAACTTCAAGTTCTGCTTCAAGTTGGTTCAATTCCAAATTCCTCTCATTTCCTTTCATTGATTTGCAGTTGAAAGCTGTGTGATCATGGCTGCAAGTGATTTCTGATTCTTGTTCTATATCAGTAGAGTATGCGAATTGTTCAACACAATGTGAATCGTGGTGTGAGATTTTGGCTCTTGAATCAGAAAGATTTCTTCTGATTCTTCCTTGGTTTTGGAATTCCATCTTGGAATTATGAAGCAGGATTTCCATTTCTCTACGAATCTCAACAATTTTGTTCAGCTCATTTTTGGTAGCATTAAACAGATAGATTAGACCAAATCCAATGCCTAGGTTCAAAGAGTCTGCTTTCTTGTCTCCTCCTGCATAAAATGTTGATTGGTTTGTTTTATATAAATATTACACAGATGAAATTAAAAAAAAAAAAAGCGAAATTATTCTAAAATGGCATGAATTTTGTAATTTTTCTTAGGCTTATCATATGCATGTATATATGTAATAAGTTACATGTCCAAAATATTATTATGTCATTTTCCATGTCAATCAAAAAGAACAAATTGTTTCCATATTCTTATACGGGATATAATATGAAAACGTGAAGGTAAAAATAGTAAAATAACATCTAAAGTCAATTTTATGTCCCACTACCGGAATTGCAATATTTCAATAAGAGATGATAAAGTTTCTATATTAGATGACGGCGTGCTCAAAATAAGAGTTTAAATATTTTTTAAGTGTTAAAATATTTGGAAATCATATTTTAGGTTGAAAGGTTGAATTCAAACCTGCCGAAATTGTTTGGAGTAATTATTTTTTAGTTTGTCTGCATCTTATCTAACTGAATTAAATAATTTCGGCAGGAAGGTAGGAATTAAATAACATTAAAAAGCAACGGATTTGCAAAAGAAGCTGTCTCTCTGTTTTCTAGTTCAAAGCAAACATGGTCTTACCTATTTATTAAGATGACATTGATATGAATATTTTTTTTTTTGGTCTTCGTAATATGAATTTTTCCATGCACCTAACTTTTTATACTAATTATTTATTTTTATTTACGTTTAGTGGTTCTTCTCGTTTTGCCTTACTTCTTGTTACACAACCTCACTTCTCTTTTAAAACTTATTAATTCAAGCAAACATATTTACAAAATAAACAACTTTTGCAATATGTCCATTTATTTACACCATCATATACGTCAATAGTGATAGCATATTTTGTAAATGTTTTAAATCATCTTATTGAACTATAAATTAGTTTATTTTCGGTTTGTATGTAAATAGTGAACACTAATTCATTGACCATCAGCCACCCTTTTCAACTACCAACTTTTTTTAAAAGAAAAGTAACCTCTATACACAATAGTACTTGAATGCTTATACAAATAACCATCCTTAGAAAAGGAAATTTGTAATAAGAAAATAAGAAAAATTACCTATAACAAGTTGAAACAATTTTTTATAACAAAAGTTAAATCCTTAAAGAATAAGCTAGCGTTTGGCCATAGATCCCAAATTTATTTTGAAAAATTTAATTTGGGTGAAGTTTAGTTTGAAGATGAAAATATGTTTGGACATACGTTTTCAAAACATATTTTCCAACTATTTTTTGGAAAAACATGTATATAATTCCCAAGTTTTGGGATTTTGACCCAAAATCAGCTCATTTTTGGATTTGGGATTTGGCCAAAATATGGGCAAAATTTATGGCCAAACATGAATTTTAAAAATAAATCCCAAATTTATTTTGGCAAAAATCATGGCTAAACGGGGCCTAAGTATATATTTAAGTTTTATACACTGATAATATAAATAAATAAAAAAAGTAAGTGCGGTGCATAAAGTATTCCGTATCACGTAGGGTCCGGGTCGCACCCCAAGGGTTGTGATGTTAGGCAATTTCACGGCTCGAACCTGTGACCTATAAGTCACACAGAAATAAATTGACTGTTGCTCCCAGACTCCCCTTTTTATGCACTGACAATATAAAATATATTTTGTACAATTAAGTGACTTCAAGTACAATTCCATCAATAGAGAAATGGTAAACAACCTACTATTAACCAGTCTACATAATCACATAGATAGGGTTAAAAAATATTCTAACTTTGAATTTGAATAACAGGATCTTTTAATTTTTCCTTATTTTGTCTTCGTTTTCATATTGAAAAAGTAATAAAAATGAGAGGTGTGAAGCAATTTACCTTCCAATGCCGTAGATGGCGATGAAGACTCCCTATCTAATCTCGTAAGATAATCCTTCTTCTTCCTATTAATCTTCTTCTCCTTTTTTCTGCTACCATACTGAAGCTGTTGCTCCTTCACTTTTTCGGCACCTTTTTTTGTCTCAAACCACCTCGACAAAATCCACCTTGGCGATATACAAGTAGTAAAGCTCCTGGTACACGTTGTTTCTGCAGATCTTCTTTTCCTAATTTCTGTACAAGCCCTTGCTGTGATTATAGAAATGCTACAATAATCATCACTACTACCCATTACGATCTTAGTTAAAACTTATTTCCCCTCAATACTTACTGTTTTATGGCCAACAGACTTAACTCACGATTTGATTTCTTATTCCTCCTTGTTTGAGTTTTCGAAATAGAAATACTACTAAGAATTGAGGAGGGAAATATTTGAAAGAGAAAGGTTCACGGGTTTCTTCATGTCCTAATTTATGAGCCTATCTCATTGAAGAAACCGAAACAACATTAATGACATTAAATTTGGTAATGATTCAATTTTTCCAAGTATATTATATTACTTGGAAATGTTTTGTATTATATTTACCAAAAAAATCCATAGCCTTATTAATTTGAAGGCTAGGCATTAACGCTGTAAAATTGAACAAGAACAGTTTTCCCCATAAACTGGTTGGGAAAGTAAATGCGACAAAAAATTACCCTGCCCACCCCAGGCTAAATGTTTTGTTATTATGCTTATCAATGGTCAGTTTGAATTTTTTTAAACTAACCTTACTTTTGAAAAAAAAATTACACTTTCGCTATAAAAATGTTAACGATAAGCAACTTCTAAAATTTAATAAATACTCAGAAAATTAGGGTAACTTAGCAATTACTAAGAACAAAAACAAGACATTGAATTTCTAAGGAAGAATGTAATTTACATAAAAAGAATACATATTATATTTCCATTTGGCCATAAATATATTTCAGTAATGTAAATACTAAGTTTAATATTTTGAAATGACATCGAAATACCAATGAAATATTGAAAAACCTATTTGACGAGTATTTCTAGTAAAATTATGAGCTTCTCATAAATTTTCAATTTTGTTTCAAGCGAAATTCATATGTAAACATTTTTTTTTTTTTTTGGATTTCTGACTTTCAACTTTAAATTCAAATAACAATCTTTTTTCGACGTCAACTAAATATTGCCGCGTAGTACATACTGGATAATTTATGATTAAAGGAAAGGAATTAATCCCAAATACCCAAACTAATCTCGCCAGCTAACAACATTGATAAGCTAGAATATTCTTCAAATGCACATCACTAGAATGTTTTTGAATCTTCCTTCCACATTATTCTTCAGCATTTGCACACCTCCTACACCGAATACATATCAGAAAATAACGAACGAACTTGAGATAGATAAATTTGGGGGCTAAATTGCAACATCTAAGAACTTGAGGTAGGTAATTGGCAATACTGTCTGAGCAATATTTGTTTTTCCAGCAATTACTGATCTTTAATGTGGTGGAAGGCAGATGTAGGAATTAGCTCGCAATTGCGGCCAGTGACAAATTATTTGCTCTATTTCGGGACCACAAAGCATATAACTTTATTCATCCTTTCAAAATCAATTGATTTTATCTCAAAACTTAGAATGTTCAAATCCCTCACCTTTCTATTAAAAAAAATGTGAATGCCCAATCAGAAACCCAAAAGTATAATTACTCTAAGCTCATTTCACCTATTATGTTTTGCAGTTAAGTCAGTCAACAAGAAACATTGTCGTTTTAATCAATGTTACGCTTGTGTTGAATAGTTGTTTATACTTTTCGACTATTAGTGGCTCAATCTGTTGGTACCAGCCACGGAGCTCCAATTAAGCAGAAAAAGTTTCATAATTGGAATAGAGCTAATCAACTAAATCAAAATAAAAAAGGAAAACGTATAGTGTGGGCAGGGAACACC